AAATGACCGTCTTGAATACTGGAACCTCCGGCAGTATTCAGGGTGATGCCTGGAAGCAGCTTCTGGAAATGACCCGTAGCATTGGCACTTCTAATAAATCTCCCAGAGACGAGATTGAATCTGCAGTCTGTGTCCACAATGAATCGCATTGAACCCAAACTGACACGATCATTCCTTTGGTCTCCGACGGCTGCGTTGCCTTCAGATTCGTTTTCCCATCCCAACCACAATTCCGAAACCTCGCTCTCGCGAATTCCGAGGCCTTGGAGAATGGCCTCAAGCGACGACGCCTTGGACTGCAGAGCCATTCGGAACTGCATTCCCTCAGGATATTGCCATCTGTCCTAGCTAGAAGATGAAGGCATTCTCCCCTGCCGGGCCTTTTTTGTTATGGTGGGGTGTCTCGTAAGACGGTTGGTGAAAACGCACAAGTAGGCCACGCGTTGCGGAATGCGCCGTCTTTGCGCAACTCTGCCTTAAGGTTGCGCCATACATTGTCTTGGTGGCCGTCCTTATGAAAATGATACTAAACATATACAAGAAAAAAGCCCTCTCTCTGCCGTGTCTGAAATCGTGACAGGTGCTGCGCCCGCCATGTCTCGGATGCGCTACGCGTAAGGCGCGCGTTCTACATGGGCAACTCAAATGGAAAAATGGCAATTACCCCCATCAGTTGGCAGTTCGGAACGCGTGCCAAATTTCGAGCGCCGGGAGAACACCACGACTGCTCATCGCCTTGATTAGAATTTGCTTCTTGTCGCGACACCGTCGACTAAATCGACTGACTGACGCCAAGGCGCATCCGGTACATCGGACAGATATCGCAGCCGTAATCATCAAGTTAAAATATCGGTGGTCAGCGCGTCCCAGGGAACGGATGGCCGAGCCGCTGGCCCTGGGTAGCCAACGTCGCGGACGCCCTGGAACGTTAGCGCGGAATCAGCATCGAGCGCCGAGAGGACATTCCTTCTTACCCGTCCAATTCCAACAAGGAGCATTCCCTCTGCCTTTTCCACTCCTCGCGCGGCTGGCACTCCCCCGACTACCCTCGTCGCTGCCGGCGTCGGAACCAGCCGCGTAATATAATTCGGCCGCGTTGGCCGCAGCTGACTCAGCCTGTTTCTGAGTTCGCTCGCGCAGCCCCCCCCCCTGCTTGCTCTGCAGCCCCCCCCCCGCCTGTCGCGTCGCATCATGTCATCGGGATCAATTTTCTACGCTGCCGAAAATGGGCGGGCCGCCCCGATGACCTCGGCATTCGCCTCTCGAGAGAGCATGGCAAACCATTCTGTCTTGCTGTATGTTTGGCGGGGCCCTTGGACGAACTCCTCGCGCCTTTAGGCCCCGGGGTTATAGACCTATCTCGGAGGCCTTTTCCATCCCCTTTTCGCGCTCATCTGCCTTGGGCCCCCCGGCCGGCTGAGCCGGTTGCGGGGCGGGGGCTGCCTTGAGCTTCTTGCGACTGAACGGGCGCCCCTGCCCCTTATCTGGGCGTCGGCCACCTCGCAGAACATTCTCGCGCGCGACTTCTTTCTTCATCCGCCCGCCCCTGACCCAGCGAAGTCGCCAGGGTCAGCAGGGCCTGGGGCAGCAGACTTGCTCTCGTGCTTTCCTCTTTGGTTAAGGGGCTTCCTCCGACAATCCAAATACATTCAATATGCCCCTGCCCCGCGCATCTGAAGTTGACGCGGCGACCGCTCATATGTTTCGACGTCCGTTCCTACCTTGGCATTGCTCAGTTCACAGGAGGTAATTGCCTACTGCGCATGTGGAACGTTCTTCATCTGTTCGCGCAAATGCTCATGGGCCCCTGCGGCCGTCTCCGGGGGCGGGCTGGGGCCTCCGCGAAGGTCGCGGCGAAGGGGCATGTGTGCAAATCGTGTGATACCTCATCTGGTTTGCCCCTATTGATGACATGTCTGAACAAAGCCTGCACCGCCGCGCTCCTGCCGCGCTCTGCGCGAAGGGACAGCCACTGGCAAATCCGACGCATCATTTCTCGCCCGGGAAGCAGGCGGGGCGCATTATATGCGTGCCCCATGCGTAAAATCTGCGCAGTGAGGCGCGCCCGGCGCGGCGGGGGATCCTTTTTTCTGCCTCATCCTAGACGACTTCCCGTCAAGTCCGCGCCGGGCAACGCGTCGATCGGCTCGCGCTTCCCTGGGCGCCTCAGAACAGCGCGGTCTATATCGGGGCCCTCGTTCGAGCGCCCCAGAGCATTGCCCCCTTTACATCGGGGGTTTCCGACGCCATAGCCCGCGTTGCGCGGGGCTTCGATTCCCGAAGCCCCGCGGCGCTAGGGTTCGGCATCAGCTCGATTTCCGCGGCCTGCCCCATCCGCCCGCGCAGAAAAACAAAACGATCTGCGATGGGTCCCCTATCGTATTTACCACCACCTCCTCTGCGTCAGCGTTCTTCCCCCTGGCGTTTCCAGGCAGCTTTCGCCTCGGCTTCCGACTAGTGCCGAACGCGTTGCGCGCGTCGCTCAGGTCGCGGGGTCGACGCGGCTGTCGCAACATGGCTTGGAATGTTGAACGCGATTGACCTGATCTGCGTTTTGGCAATCATGGGACATTTGAATATCTCCCAAGGCTAAGGCTGCAGCGACAGGCAGCCCCAGCCCCCTCGCCGAGCTCTGATATGTTGAGCTTCCCGGCATCAAAGGCTGAGCCCCGAACGTCAGTCGACTCGACCTACCATCCGCAGAAAGACAAGCTCTGGTTCGGGTCTCCCTGGTAAATGGGAGCATGACAGCGTCGCCCTGTGCCGCGGATTGAACCCGCGGCGCAGGCGGCACCGCCCCGCCACTTTGTTCGGTCACGTTTTGGGCTTCCCGGAGAAAGCTCAACTTATTATGTGCCTCTCTCTGCTTGGCGAGGTCCTCGGCGAGCGCGCTCGTGTCTATTTTCAGGTTCGTTGCCTAATCAATGGCGGTGCGTTCTCGAAGGCTCGTTTGCTGGACAACCGCCATTGCCGCTTGATTCGCATGGTGAACCAGAGCAGCTGCTTGCGCCGCCCTCGATTGCATCGCGCCCTCTGCCGATCGATGATAATCCTTTGCCTCTGTTTACACCCTTGGTAGAAGCTGGTGCACATGCTATTCCTTTACTGCAGTGTTCCCCGTTACTCTGTTTCCCGATCCTATCATCCTATGTTCCGCAGTATCCTCCAACCCCGTACTTTGCCTTTCGGCCTCGATCAAAGACAGCCGAGCTGCTTCCGATGCTGCCTGCTGGTCTAGATGGGCTTACTGCGCGGCCTGTAGAAGGGTTTCCTTCACAGCATTGACCTTCCAGAGGTGTTCGTCCTCCTGCGTTTGAACTGCGCGAACTTGCGCGGCCAGTTATTCGCGAACTGATGCTTCATTGGCCAAGATTTTATCTGCCTCTCTTCGCTGCCATTCAAGAACAAAAGACAACGACGATCACAGGGCCCCTTCATGTCTATGAATTCTGAGCAAAACCAATTGGGATTGCAGCGCTGGCACGCGAGCGAACAACCGCAACGCACCGGTCAAAGGCACGGACCCTGGGCGTCACGTACTTTTCCGGGACATCTATTTTCCGCTGACAGGTAACATCGCGGCCCTCGGGCCCAACGACTCACTGTCCACGGAAGGCCCACAGAAGGTGATATATGGGATCCTCGGTTTCTCCTTGACCTTCCACGCTTCCTAGCTGCGAATGGCGATCGAGATGCAGATCTTCGACTGGCGCTACGCGGAGACAACTTCGGAGTCGGGGTCGGCCCTGGGATTCGCGTAGCTGGGCAATGCGGATCGCCAAGCAAACTGCAGGCCAAACTAGAATCATGCATTGCAGAATCATGCCCCACGCTTACATCCCCAAGTGCCTTGGGGCGCTTTGCCACAGGCGTCTCCGCCGCGCGGTCTCTTGCGCGATCCGTCTGAAATACGATCAGCGTCTTCTTATCTCTCATGGGCGAAATCCCAGAATTCAGGCCATCGTCTTCCACGACAACTGCAAGTTCATGACCCAAATCATCTCCACCATCCATTGGTTGAACCAGCGCCGAATCGCTGTCTTCCATCGGAACGCACGGGCCATCAAATAAGGAAATGACAGGCACGCCAGGAATGATATGACCGAAAGCATTATTTAGCGGAATATTCGGCTGATACTGCGCAATCCCCATGGAACAAGCATATGGAAATCACTTGCTGTAGTCATTTGCGCGTCAGATACAACATCATAAGTTTCGTCTGGTAAGCCGTCACTCGCCACAAAGATACGGTTTCCGGCAAAAGTGGGATATGATGGTGATGGCGACGTATCGGTCTCATCGCCCATGATGGGTATATCAGACATGCTTTCTGTGAGCCGTTACGCAATGAGTATTTGTATGCAAGAGAGATCAAAAAGAGGAGGAGGGACGACGACGATGACAATCCACAACCCTTCAACTCTCGCGCCGGCGTGCCCACGGTGCCCGCAAGAGGCACTCCTCCAGCACAGCCTACATAATTGACGGCGGCGGCGGCAGGGAGCGACCAGGGAGAGAAGAGTAACAAATGGAGGGGGAGGAGGAGGAGGAGGAGGAGGAAAAGGAGGAGGCGACGGAGGATGAGGACACAAAGGAAGCAAATGCTTTTCCGACAGGGCCTTTTAGGACGAATCCCCAGGGCAAACATGCCTGCGGGGAGCAGGCCGCATGATGAAGGATGACCTGGGACTCCTGACTCTCAAACAAGGTGCCACAGGGCTCTACGGACCCGTCGGGATGTAGCAATCATGGCGCACCCATTGGCAGACCAGTCCCTTGTTTGGCGTGCCTACTGCACAACGTTCAGACAGGCAGGACAGGCGCCCTTGTCGCATCTTCTTGGCCAAGGTGCGAAACGGGCCAAGGCGAAGGGGCTGACGCCCCAAAGTTAGGCCCTCCCCAGAGCTCTGGGAACCTCTGGAGGCATCCTGGGACTTCCTGGATCCTCCTGAACGTAGCAGCAGTGGGAGCCGGAGCAGGAGCGGCCACTGAGGAGGCCGCGTACACGCCCATCGTGCAGACGTCCAGCATTGACAGCTTCTTCAGCACCTCTCCGCCGGCCACGCTGGCCGCATGATCCCAGGCCGGCAAGCACCAGGATCCCGACAAGAAGGAACGGGATGGGACGTGAGGAATATGGAACAGGAGGAGTGAGGAGAGGAGACGAACAGAGAGAGTGCAGGAGGCAGGAGCGGAGAAGGGAGGAAGGAGGGGACAGGAGAAGAGAGGATAGGAGAGGAGAGGAGAGGGGAGGGGAGGAGAGGAGAGGAGAGGAGAGGAGGGGTGGGAGGAGGCAGAAGGGTGGAGGAACAAAGAGGGGATGGGGGGGAGGAAGGAAAGAAGGGAAGTAGCAGGAGCGAGGAGGGGAGGAAGGGAAGGAGAGGAGGGAAGGCGGCGCGATCTGGGCTGACATCCGTCTTGATCCCAAGAGTATGTCGTCGACGACGCCCCCCCACTGCCCAAAAATTTCCCTACCCTACAAGTCATACGTTTCTTCCTCACCCTCCTTTTCCCCCTTTACCTCCCCATCTCCCTCCGCCCCCGCATCAGATTCCTCCATCCTTCTTCTTATGAATCACTCCCCCTGTCAGACCACAAGACCTGTCGTTGAGGCAGCCTGGGCGTATCGCCGGAGGCTTCCTCACCACTTGCGTCCTGAAGCTTCCGAGTTCCACACGTCACGCGGATGAAGGCGGGTCGGTGCTGCGCACCGTCGTCTGAACAACTGAAGGGGCCCTGGGACACACAAATAAATACACACAAATAATAACATTCCCCATCTTTTCCCATATTTTCTGGGTTTCTGTCTTCCCCCCCACTTCCCATATTTTCCTATATTTTCTGGGGAATGGAGGATTGATTGTGTCTGTGTGTTTCTTTTCCTCCTGAACAACATCCAACTATTACACGGCTGAAGGGCAGGCCATTTTCAAATTCGGCTCTCGCCTTGGCGCCGCGCACGCTCGTGTCGAACAGCGTCCTGCGTGTACACGATAGAGGTCGGGCCACTTCAAAGTGATTCTCGCCTTGGCGCCGCGCGCACTCCTCTTAGAATAGAGATATCTACATGGATGGGAGGCGAGACGTTATCAGAATGTGGAACTCTTTTTGGCGCCGCGCAAACTCGCCTTACAAATAAACTGCTACACGGGTGAAGATCGGTTCATTCTAACATGGGGCTCTCACCCGCGACTCCCTCGAAAGGTGTAATCACACGGCTTCACTTGTGCACCAGCTAGTTGGAGGTAGGGCGGTTTCTTCAAAAACTGGGGTTGTCGCTCGGCACTTCCCCGAATTGCATGACCCCACCTCGTCGCACTCCTCCTGGCTAGAGGGGTGGAGGGCCGTCTATTTGTTCCCAGCCGCATCGCGGGCCCGTGGGGCATTCGTTTTCCACGCCCACGCGGGGGGGCGTTTCGCGCAAAACGCTTGCAAGGACTGACGAGGAGGGGATCTGCAAAAGAAGACAACTTGCTGAAACATCGATTTCTTCTGAGGTCCGCGCGGGTCTCTTGGATACAGTCGGGGCGTTGACCTAAGGAACCCTAAATAAGGAACGAGGCCCCTTTCTCCCAAAAGTTGAACTTCGATTCCCCATGGAAAACCTTCGGGAAACCGAATGCAATCTGCACAACAAGCAAGGAACACCGAGCCCCTCCCCAACGAAAAGGGTTCCTTCTTCAGGGCCCCGGCTGTATGCGCTGAAACCCCCCTCCCTGGCGCGCGGAGCGCGCCAGGGGCGGCGACGCCAGAGGGGCCCAGCACCGATTCAAGAAATTCGCCGGAGCTCCGACCCTTTATCTTTTATATGTACGCATGTTTGTTGGAAGTGGGGTCGGGACGACGTGGTGCAGCATCGTCGATGGGTTTACAGTCGGGGCGTTGACCTAAGGAACCCTAAATAAGGAACGGGGCCCCCTTTTTCCATAAGTGAACCTTCGATTTCCGATCGAAAACATAAGGAAAGCCTGAGGAAAGCTGTGAAACACTTAAGGAACGCGGAGCCCCTCCCCAACGAAAAGGGTTCCTTCTTCAGGGCCCCGACTGTACTCTGGTCCTCCTCCCTCCCGAAGCGAGCCACCCTCACCATCGTGTAGACCCCGCTGGAGTCGCAGCGCCTCCTGTCGCCCCCGCCGTGTTTGTCGTCCCCTCTCCTCTCTACCAGGATCATTCCGCTGCTACCTAGCTTTTGCAGGCCGCCCAGGACGACCCCAGGGCGGCCAAACGGCCTCGGTCCCGAGCGCGGGACGGGACGGCAGCCAGCGTGAGCGTCAAGAGCAGGATGACGAACGGACAACACACACCCATACCCATAGGGGGGTCGGAGGGAGAAGGACTGGCTATGGGTATGGGTGCGGGTTGTCAGACCCTGAGGAAGCTCCCGTTCGAGCGGGGACCCCCGACAACACGCACCCATAGCTCATTCCGTCTCCCCTATGGGTATGGGTGCATGTTGATCGTTCGTCACAGGAGGAGGGGAGAAGGGGGGAGACGAGGAAAACGGGTTCTGATCCGCCCAGCGTTCTCTCATCGGAGACCGAGCGGATTCCCACGCCGCCCCCCAGGCAGGGCAGCTCCCCCAGGAGCGACACGCTGCCTCTGACGTCGGCCATTCTTACAGGAGCAGCCTGCTGGCCCAAGCCCACAGACCAAGGCCACGTTGGGCCTGGCTCGCGCCCGCGACGGTCCTCTTCCTCTTCTTTCCCCTCCTCTTCCTCATCCTCCTCGTCGTCTTTTCTGTTGTTCACATTATAAGTATGACTCAGATGATTGGTCGTATTCGTATTCGTGTGTTTCATATTTTGTGTATTCCTCTACTTGTATTAATATGATTCCCCATATTATTATGACTAATATTGTTTTGTCAATTACTATTACTATTATTGGCATTAGTTGTAGTATTATGATTGGTATGCTTAGTAGTATTGCTGATAAAAATATTATTAGCAACAGTAGTAGTAGTAGTAGTAGTAGTAGTAGTAGTAGTAGTAGTAGTAGTAGTAGTAGTAGTAGTAGTAGTAGTAGTAGTAGTAGTAGTAGTAGTAGTAGTAGTAGTAGTAGTAGTAGTAGTAGTAGTAGTAGTAGTAGTAGTAGTAGTAGTAGTAGTAGTAGTAGTAGTAGTAGTAGTAGTAGTAGTAGTAGTAGTAGTAGTAGTAGTAGTAGTAGTAGTAGTAGTAGTAGTAGTAGTAGTAGTAGTAGTAGTAGTAGTAGTAGTAGTAGTAGTAGTAGTAGTAGTGGCGGTAGTCGTATTCGTATTAGTTATTGCCATATTATTACCATTATAATGCTAGTTTTCTTATTCGTATTCCTCCTCCTCCTTTTCCTCTTCCTCCTCTTCCCCCATTTCGTTGCCTCTCGGCTTTCGGGTAATAGTTCAATTCCCTGGCGGCCGTTTGGGATAATCCGGGCACCCCCAGAACACTTTCGGCGAGGCGCAGCTGCTAGAGAGCACCCCGAGGCTGGAAAGCCGCCGAAAGCCGACGAGAAGGTCCGATAACCTGGATCCTCGAACCTCGAGGCGTTGTCCCCCACTGAACTCATCCCCCCCGGCCCGATCCTTTGCCCCCCCCCAAGGCCGCGAACCCGCCGCGCGCTCGCCTTCGACACACTCACGAACGGGCACGCCGGCAGGGCCGACGGATCATCAGCGCACCACAGGCGCACCGACGCGGCGACCAGCGCCAGCATGTCCAGCACCGTCAAGGCCTCGGTGGGCAGAGAAATCTCGTCGCGCATTGTGAAGTTCACTCCTCCGCCTCTCTTCCCGGCCCCCTCATCATCATCATCATCATCGTCATCATCATCATCATCATCATCATCATCATCATCATCATCTCATTCCTCCTCTTCCCCTCCACCCCCGCGTCCTCATTGTCCTCGTCGTCGTCCTCGTTATCAAAATTACCACCACTACCATCACCATCATCATCATCACCATCCTCATCATCATCATCATCATCATCATCATATTCATCTTCATATTCATCATCATAACTTTCACTATCAGTCATTCGCCAGATGAATACGGTTTCTGGACCGTATGATGTCATGATGCTGCCGACATATCGATCTCATCGCCAATTATGGGCATGTCAGACACGCTTCCTGTGGGTCAATAGTCCGCGCTGTGGATCTATATATAAATGGATAGTGGAGGGCAAGAGAATAGAAGGGACGACGACGACGACGAACCCTCTCCCTTTCTGCGCGCTCGGTGGCCGGCCAACGGTGCCCAAGCCTCGATATCCCGCGCACGCAGCTGCGGCGGTCGGCGGCAGCGGGGCGGCCGGCGGCGGCTGGGAGCGAGCAGGGAGAATGCGCTAAAAACTCCCCCCGTGGCGGGGCGCGCAGGCCCCGCGCTTCGAGCCCGCCCCAAGAAGCACCGCGGTTCCACGGCGCCCCCCGGGGCGCACTGCCCCCCCCCGCGCCCATCCCCCAAAAGCTTTTGCAGCGCCAAGGGAAGGGGCGCCGATAATCCCGCCGGATCTCCCTTAGGGAGGGACGAAGCGGAGCGACGAATCCCTCAAACTCTTCCCCCGAGAATCAAACGTGGATGTAGGAGTCCACGCGCAAGCACTCAGCCCCGTCCTTCTCCGGCCAGTAGTGCAGCCGCGGCTGAGCCGCTGCCAGCAGCGCCCCTTCGCCTCGTGAGATAGCGACCGTAGGAATCATGCGAGTCGCAATCCACCGCTGACATGTCCTCTCGGCATCATTGCGCGCCCACTTTCCGCCGGACTGATGATCATACTAATGGTGGGTGGTGTCCCACCGGTCCTGATACTGGTCCCACTGGTAATTTCTCTGGGTCGCGCGCCCGCTCGACGTCTGGCGCTCCGCCCTCTGTCCTTCTTGTCCTTGAAGGGCCCGAGGCGTCGACTGCCGTGCTTCGTTGCGCGGTGATGAAAATTGTCTCGATCCTGCATCGCGGCCCCGGCTTCTCGGCCACGGCGGCGGCGCCGGCGGCGCCTCGCGTCGCGGGGGCAGCCCGCGCGCGCCATCGCGGAGGCCGCGGCCATCGGGGGCCACGGCCAGCGCGTCGCCCCCCGCCGGCCGCGCGGGAGGAGCAGGAGGAGCAGCCGGGGCACGGACTGAGTCGGCACCGCCAGCGCGCTCTTCCCAAACACCCATTGGTCTTAACAGATTCGGCGCAGGAGCGCCGCCGGCTAGGCTCCGCAGCAGCCCCCTCCGAAATGAATTGCGCCGGACTCAGGCGAATGTTCGTCTGTTGCTCCGGCGGCAGCACTACCCGGCATCGGGCCATCGGCAAATGCTCCAACATTCGCGGAGCCGATATCAAGGAGCCCGTTCATTGCAAAAGTACGCAAGATTCCGGGAGCAATCGCGGCATTTTGCTGCCCATGCTCGGCGACCTAACATCCCTGCATCTCCGCGCATTTATCCTGCAATGGCTCCTTCCATTCGTCTGCGCCGACGAGCTCAGCCTTCGCGATTTGCATCGGCGAGGGGCCCGCGCGCATCTTAAACTTAAGGTTGAGCCCCAAGCCCTCGATATATGTCTACATCAGGTCAGAACACTTGACTGCCCCCCCCCCCCCCCTTGTCTCATCGAGTTCGCGCGAATGTCTCCGCGCCTGCTGCGGGCAAAGGTCCACCATGTCTCCTATTTCATGTTCCCTCCGATGTTCACGGGCATCAATGCTGCGCTGTATTTACGTTGGGAATGCGATGCGTCGTCCAGGTACGACACAATGTATTACGAATTCCTTGACTACGTTCATTGCGCGAACGGGCCTATGCCCGAGTAGAACCGGCGTGAGACTCTCCCCCCAGAAATCGGCGAGGAGTTTGTCGACCCTCCCGCTGATGGCCTCTTCATCTACAGTCTCCGAATGACGCGGCAATCGCCGCGCATTGCGCGCGAAAGGCGCGTGAGTTTCAGAGGCCCTAGCCTCAATTCCCGAGCTTCAGCTCCACTGGGGGGCGGGTGCCGGGGCGGCTCTGCCGGGGCAGGGGGGTGGGGGGGGCATTTAATTTCCGGTGCGGAATCGGAGCTCCAGCTCACACCGGGACGGCCCCCTCGCCCAGGAGGAACCCAACATGGGCCAAGAGGGCCCCGAGTCACCGAGCGATCGCTACCAGGCGCCCAAGATCCCCAAGACGGCGCCAGAAGCCTCCAATATGCCCTCAGAAGCATGCAAAATGCCTCCCAAAGAAGGCCCGAAGAAGCAACATGTGTCCGATTCCCTATGGTAAACATACAACGTTGGCACATTCGCCCCTCGGGCCATCAGATCGTCGCAGACGCCCCAAGCGAGCCTCCGAACGGCCCAAAAAGCCGCCAGGGGCCCAGGAGGCCCCCGGCAAGGCCCAAGAGGGCCCCAGGACGGGCCAGAGAAGCGCATGAGAGGGCGCCAGGACGGCGGAAGAAGTGCCGAAGGCGGCCCAAGAAGCCCCGAGCAAGCCCCCAGAGGCCCCCAAGAGGCCTGAAGAGGCCCCAAGACGCTTCCAACTGGCTCCGAAAGGGCCCCCTGCAGCCCCCTTAAAGGCCCCCAAGAGTTTCAAGCAATGCATGCAAGACGCCTTCTAAAGGCCTCAAAGCTGCCTCCAAGACCCCCCCGAGAAGCCCAAAACCGGGCCCAATTCATCTGCTTACGTCTGAACACAAGCGCTGACATGCAAAGGGTTCCCCCACGATTTCACATCCTCTCCCGCCCTCGGTGTTCTTCACATCCACGATCTCACGAGGGCCCGCAGAGGGCCGCGCGAAGGCCCAGGGGCCCCGAAAACACCGCGGTTCCCAGCGGAGACCGGCGATGCACAAGGCCCCACAAAGAACTGCGACGCAGACAGCTCCAGCACAAAGCTGTTCAGAGAGCGCGCCAAATCGGCGGGGTGCCAACCCAGAGAGGGCCAACACCCAGCCCCAGAGAGGCTTTCCAACAACCGCCGAACATCTCCAACAACCGCCGAACATCTCCTCATCCTCGTCGTGCTCCTCCTTCTCCGCATCCCCCTCTTTCACTTCCCGCTTCCTCCTGCCCCCCCCCTCCATCCTCGGCATCCTGCTACTCCTGCCCCTGCCCCTTTCCACCCCCCCGCCTCATCATGATCATCCTCCTCCTCCCCATCCTACTTCGTCGCCTCCATTCCCAATTCCCATCATCATCCTCGCCGCTCGCTGTCATCGCCGGCCACGGCCGCCATCGCGCACTCCCAGCAGCGACGGAGGCGCCCCGGATCGGCGGCGCTGGCGGGAGGCCACTACAATATACCCCTGGTTACGTCAAAAGCCATTTTGTCTTGACAGTGTCAGTATGCACGATTTTGTCGGCACCCCTATCATCGCTTGGCGGATTATTCAAGTGCAAAGGGCTTCTGCGCCCTCTTCTAATCGTAAAATTGGCGATCGACGACGTAGAAATTTGGACGACTGGGGCCGAGGCCCAATAATAAACCATCGCGTCTTCTAGTTTTTCCCTGGGAATTATGCGCGGCCGAACCTTCAGCGCCGCGGCATTTGCGATGGGGAGCTCGATGCAGGAGGGTGGATCGCTGTCATGCAAGGACCGAGTCTCCCCCATCTCCCGCGCGCGCGCGCCCGCCAGCCGCGCGGCCGCGGGGGGGCCCGCCCCATCTGCGACAAGGTTCTCCCAACAAAAATCCCCATCCGCCCGCTGGCTCGACCCCGCGATCTCCCGCGCGCGGCCAAGCGAACGCGCGGAGGGGGGGGCGCTTCATCGCCACTTCAGTCGGGTCGATGTGCCTCTGCGCTATGGGCCGACATTCGGCCTCCCTTGCATTGTCGGCACTTCGAGCGCTGCATGGCATGAGCCTCTTCTTGAGCGCATCAATGAAACGGCTCATATCGGAGCGGGGGCGCGCTATCCGCATGCTCGGCCGCCCGCAGGAAGGGGGGCACTGTCTTGACGGGGCAAGTCATGCCTGCCTTCGTCTTGTAGTCCTCGCATCATCATTAAACCACGATCGCTTGTGCTTTTCACCCATCAAAATAAGCATTCGTCTGATTGTAAGAATGTCAATCTCTTCCGAATCAACATTTATCTCGGCGAGCGCCCAATTGGAATCGTTGATCTTGGACCACGATGTAACATGGACCTTTAATATCACTGCAAAGAATGATATTGTCAGTCTCTGGCCCGGCATTGACATCTCTGGAACACGCCGACCCATCCAGAATCGTCCTGCACTTGTTGCCGTAATGCGCTTTCCGTGAAATAGCATGATGCCACCCCATTCCTGCTGGCGGCCCGGGCGCAGGGTCCAGAAATTCCCTGCCGCGGGGGCATCGATGACACCTTCTTGATGGCCATCTGCACTGTCGAGAGGGTACTGCATCGACGGTAACTGCTCTGGATCGGCAGGCTGCCTGGCCTGGCAAAGCCAGTTAGGGGGCGCGTGAGCACCGTTAGGAGCGCCATGAGTGCCAGTAGGAAGAAACCTGAAACAAGTGTAATCGGGAGTAGCGGCGTCTTTTTCCGGTATACTGACGTTGCCTGATTGCAAACGAATTCTTTCTGTAACATTCATCCACGTGCCGTGCTTTGGAGACATGGTAAAATAATCGCCATCCGCCCTGTTTACGACGTGGACCAAACGCCCTTGAGTGGCTCGGATCAAAATAGGACGGGGTAGCTCCCGCGCGTATGTTGTTCGACTTTGTGGCCCAGTTCGTCCGACCGAGTCCAGCAATGATTGGCTTTGCCGACCAAATCGCAATCGGAATC